ATTAACATCTGCAGAAACAGAAACACCTGCAGAAACATCTGTAGAAACATTTACAGAAACATTTACAGAAACATTTAAATTAACATCTGCAGAAACAGAAACACCTGCAGAAACATCTGTAGAAAAATTTACAGAAACATCTGCAGAAACATCTGCAGAAATATTTACAGAAACATCTGTGTAAACATCTGACCACTGTGTGATACAGATGTTTCTTATTTAATCGTCTCCTCACATGTACACTGTTAACCCTTTAAAGCCTGATCCAAGAAAAATAGGAGGAATATTGGCTTTTTTTAGTCTGAAGTCTTTCTTTGGCCCCTCAACAACATATGAAGAAAAAAAACAGAAATGATTTTGATCAAATTAGCGTGCAATAAGTCAAAAATCTATGTTGGTGTAGTCTTCTACTGGCTGTTATCAGGTATATCTGAATGTGTACAACAGGGGTTTGAGCAAAGCTTTTACCACTGAATGATGCAAAAAGTCTCACATCCAAAAGAAACCGGATCAAATATGACACATTTGGCTTTATAGGGCTAAGACCCCCAAAAAACATGAATGAATTAATTAATGAATTGTCTAATTGTGCTGAAAAGCTTAATTTAGGTAAAATAAAATCAAAACATCGTTAACTCCTAATGCCCGATCCAATAGATGGTCATCAATGTGTTAGCTACTGTGTGTTGGTTCAAAATACAAATCTTTGTTTTTTATTTGCAGGCTGACTGAGAACATGAGACGGCTCAGTGAGTATCTCCAGTTTATATGAGTTTATGTTCAGATGGTGAGAATGAGGGAGAATGAGCATTTCTGTGTTTTAGAACGAGGATTCCGGCCTGTGACGAACTTCATGAGGAACCTTTCTGCCTTATCCAGCTGGTACTCCGTCTACACATCAGCCATCGCCTTCATTGTGAGTCCTGAGCAGAGATATACACAGGACTGTCTCAGAAAATTACAATATGGTGATAAAGTTCTTTATTTTCTGTCATGCATTTAAAAATCATGAAATGTCATACATTCTGGATTCATTACAAATCAACTGAAATATCGCAAGCCTTTTATAAACATCCACAAATGAAAAAGATTTATTTAAAATTGGAGAGGAGAAGGAAACCAAAAAGGACAAAAAGAGTGAGTTCACACACATAAAGGACTGTCGCAGAAAATTAGAATATTGTGATAAAGTTCTTTATTTTCTGTCATGCAATTAAAAATCAGGAAATGTCATACATTCTGGATTCATTACAAATCAACTGAAATATCGCAAGCCTTTTATAAACATCCAAAAATGAAAAAGATTTATTTAAAATGGGAGAGGAGAAGGAAACCAAAAAGGACAAAAAGAGTGAGTTCACACACATATAGGACTGTCTCAGAAAATTAGAATATTGTGATAAAGTTCTTTATTTTCTGTCATGCAATTAAAAACATTAAATGTCATACATTCTGGATTCACTACAAATCAACTGAAATATCGCAAGCCTTTTATAAACATCCAAAAATGAAAAAGATTTATTTAAAATGGGAGAGGAGAAGAAAACCAAAAAGGACAAAAAGAGTGAGTTCACACACATATAGGACTGTCTCAGAAAATTAGAATATTGTGATAAAGTTCTTTATTTTCTGTCATGCAATTAAAAATCATGAAATGTCATACATTCTGGATTCATTACAAATCAAC